AACAGGAAATTTAGGCCTGGTCCAGTCAACATTTGTGCCAAGTTTGATTAGTATTGAAGCAGTATTTATAGTTTTATAGCAATTTGAACTTGTAACGGGAGACTTTTCAATGAAAACAGCCATTTTTCACAAAAATGCTAATGAAATAATGGGTTAAAGACGCCAAGTAAAAGATTAATTTCAAGAATTTTCATGAATAACCTTCTTTTTAATTTCCGTTCCTTAATATTTTCTAGACTCTAAAGATGTTGAAATTAGCTTCCAAAATTTTAGGAAAATATTTTGACTTTCTGTTGTTTCATGGGTCATTATGATCTTAAAGATTTGTAATTATTGAAAATGAAGTTCTGTTTCATTCGTTTTTCGTTTCTTTCTTGACTTTTTTCACTAAATTTGAAAATATGATTAACTAACTGAGGATTAGGTACTTTGTTCTTTGATAGCATGTTGTTACAATTTATGTGCCTTTCTTTTATTATCAATTAAGAAAACTGTGTTTCAGATTTATACTATAATGCTCTGTCTATAAAGGTATTTAATACCCTAGAATGTTATCACCAAAGTATTTTGGAAGAGTAAAGAGTTGGGATATATTAATGCGTATTTGTTAGACAGCACATCTAAATAGATCAAATGGATCAATGTTCTCTTATTAATTTTGAGGTCAATGGGTTAAAGGTCAAGGCCACAGGGGCCTTGACTAGAAAAAAACTTGTCCGCCCAATAACTTTAGTTTCTTTCGACTCACAACCTTCATATTCGGCATGGATGTTGGTCATGACCATTAGATAACCCCTATTACTTTTGATGTCACCAGGTTAAAGGTAATTGTTGCAGAGGCCTTTACTTAAAAAATTGTTCTCTGAATTGCTTAAGAATCGTTTGGTCAACAGTCTTCATATTGGTATTGAGGTTGGTTATGACTAATAGATGATCCCTATTGATTTTAGGTGACTGGGTCAAAGGTCAATGTCACAGGGGCTTCAACTACAATAAGCTTGTCTGCCCAAATGCTTAAGAATGCCTGTCCACATTGTATTGACTTTGACATCCCACATTTAAAGCATAATTATGATCTCATATATTCACCATAAAACACCCCAAGTCAAAGTGGTATGCGGGGTATATGCTTCATGACAGTGGCAGTTCTAGTTATTAAAGTATACCTTTCATTGAAAGAAGTAACATTAGTTATAATGCTTTCGCTAAATATATCATGTATAACGGCTCAAACATTTACCAGGAAAACTTTTTCCTTAATACAGAGCGCGAAACAGTATAAACATTTGCACAGAATTCAAGGTTAAATAATAAAAGACAATAGTGCAGGGATATAAAATCACAATGTCACAAGCTTGATAAAGTAGCTGCTCCTGAAACGTTGTATAATTAATTTTCAATAATGAGGCGATTTAATGAACAAAAATATCAAGTTACGGGAATTGAATTGTAGATTTTTTAAAGAATCCGAATAATCATTTTAAATTATATAATTTGGTTTGTTAGAGATTAAGACGACTGTCGACGGTTTTATAATTTTGTAATTCGTTCTTCTTCGAATTTTTTAAAGGTAAAAAATTAAACCCTTCTTTTGTTCCAGTTAGAGGTTTATAATGTGGGGCTTTTCAAACGTCTATGATAATAAATATAATTAATAATTTGAAATTCAATCGATTATTTATTGTTATTGTTCTAAATTCATACAAAGAAAAACCAATGAAACACAATAAAATAACAATATCATGAAGGTCTGTTTGTACGTTTCATCTTATAAGGTGTCATGCATGTGTATTGTTTTAAAACTCTTTAAGTTGTGTGTCTTAATTTTACAGCCTTACAGTTTAAATTAGATGCGTCATGCCAGCCCGCTTAGTTCAATCGCTTTGTAATTTCGACATTTTGTGGGTTTGACCTTTTTGCTGGCCAACTAAAATTACCCAGCAGTCTTTCGAATGAGATTTTAAATCGAGGTCCCGCGTATGAGTGCTGAAACACTTGGCAATTTAAAGATTGAACTGGAATTGGGGCACCTTTCTTCATCTGTATCGTGCACTGTCCTCCATAATCTAAAATGACTAATACTCTTCTGGAGGACTCGCCGATATTGGCAACCGGTGGCGAGTACAATAAACTCAAATACACACACAATAGATGTGTCTTCAACAAATGATACACATTGAAGACATTAAACCTTTACCGGCGCAGACATACTAATATTACTAAAAGCAATTGTAATGAATATGGTTGGAAACTAATTTAATGAACATTTTGTTTTCTTTTTTCAAACATCTTATCCATTTATTTAACGAAGGCAAATTTCCGCGTTTACATCAATCAGTTAAACATACGAAATGAATTAGGTGGGTCATAAAAGTAATTTATTTGTCTACAAGTTACCACGTTAAGATCCAAATGTTTCCGGTAAATATCTGTACATAGCGCTTCGTAATGAATAATATCCTATTTCCTGATTAGTAATACAAAATGTCATGGCAAATAGTATGCATCTTCATTATTTTTTTATTTTTGTTTAATTATTTCTTTTTTTATTTTTAATACTTTTTTTCATATTTTTTTTACCTTTTTTTGCCTGAGGGCATCACTTGTTTCGGATAAATATTTCGTTCTAGGGCTTCCATATTTATATGTTGTCTTTCATGTTCAATGACTTGTATTTCTAAGTGTCATCATTTATTTTTAACACTTTATTGCTATCAATAATGCATTGCATTTTTATGCTATATTTCATGTTGCTATCCATATTTATGTATTGTCGAGGTCAAGCGCAATATAACTAGCTAGGCGAACTTGTTTGGTATAAGGTAACAACACAAAACATAGGTTGAATGAAATAGGGCATTTATTAAATGCCATACATGACAACTGTTATATAATAACAAACATGGTATATAAGTTATAGCGCTAAGTGCACACCAAAGAAAAGTAAAGAGCTGTAATAAACTGGGATATATTACTGTATATTTGTAAGGCAGCACATCTAGTAAATCAATGCTCTGAAATAAATAATTTCAGTATAAAATTACGAATCCTGTATCAGATCGCATTAAATCTACCACAAGGTAGTTATAGATGCCCTGGCAGCCTTTATTTCAGATAAATGGAAAGGATTCAACAATTCATAAAGGAAATTTACATCCTAAAAAAACAGAAAAACATCAAAAAATATAAAGATACTACATACAATCATTATATTTATTCACTAACCAGATAGAAAAATCCTAACTGTTAAAATCATAAAGTATGTTTCATTTCTATATATCTTTCAATTAAATAAAAAATAAAATGTACATGAAAAGCAAGATGTTAAAAGAGGCAAATAAAATGTACAAAAAAATAAATGTTGTAGTTTTTTTTTACAGTAGATAATATTTTTTTCTTGATAAGAAAGCAAAATAATACATCGAGTTGGATTTACTTAATTTCAATAATTATAAAATATGAGTTTTGTATAAATAAAATTAATTCTTAAAACAAATGTAAAATAATAATATGCAATTCAACAATTAGAATTGTCTTAAAAAGTGACGTCGAACGATATAGTCATACACACCCTTCTATCAAGCCGACAACATGTATTATCTTTAAGACGATTTCAACTTTCTGAAAAAAAACGTATATACCACTAGTAAGCATTAATTTGATATAATATTAATATACATGGCTGGCGTGTTTCATTTGTCAGATTAGAGATTTTTAAAGGAAACTATCCGAACTGTTTACAAAATTATATGAAAGCTCCGTTTCCCAGACGCCTTCGTGACCAACTTTTGGAATTAAATCTCGTTGAAATTACAAACGGTTTAAAATTTATTATATAAATTCCAATGTTCAAAAGACGTAAGAATTAAGCATGACGTTATTTAGGTTTTACACTAAGCTCCGGTAAATTTTAAACAAGATCCTTTTATTGTATCAGGCACTTTGGATTATTAGAAAATATTAATGTGCGTCGCGTTCTTTGAGCTGCGCCGCTGTGGTGTTCCCATGGTAATTTATGGCGGCTTGAGACGGTACTGGATGCCATGAGATCGAAAATATTTTTCAATTAAATAGATTAAGACAACGTAAAATTTCTCAGAATTATAAACAACATTTGAGTATTTCTGGATCAACCCTCGTATTTTTAAGCTTATGAAAGGTTTAAATATTCAATCAAGACATTTAACACCGATATCCTCACCATGGTTACAATCGGTTGTGATGTAATCAATTGTACACGCAAACAAATTCCTTTCTGCACCAGTACAGTTCACATTGTCTAATAATATAGGACCAGAGCCTCGCCCAAAATATGCAAACGAACCTTTGTGACTGAAGCCTAGAGTCCTGCACGCGACTTTAGCTGCATTTTCATTAAAGTAATCATCGCACACTGTCCCCCATTTACCATTTAGAAATACTTCGAGTCTACCGGAAGAAGAAGTCGGGCCGCCAACCAATCGAACGTTTTTAAAATCGACAGCTGAAGAAAACAAACTTATAATTTCTTCCGATTTGTTATTGATAGTCGCAGAACAAGTGTTTAACGCGTCGGTTCCTGAAGTAAGCTTTTTTATTTCATCCCTAACGATGCGAAGATTTAACATAAAACTTTCATTGAAATTTGTATTTTCTTCCGATAAAGCACTAAGTTTTTCTTTGTTTGACAGTTCATGGTCTTTAATAACAGTTACGTTATTTAAAATTAAATCGAGAATGTCTTTTAATTTCATCACGTCGTCTAGTGTAGCTTGGAGACCATTTATCTTAGTACCTAAATCTTCTTTCCACAAATTAAAGAACAGCTTTTGATCTTTGAAACCCCGCTTTAGCCTTTTGACTTCTGATTCTAAATACACTCCCTTTGACTCAAGATTTTTCAGTGAATTGTCTGGAAGAGATGCTTGTACTGGATTAGGCAGGCGTGTGTTTTGTGAAAGGGATGCATTAATGATCACAGTAAGTCGTTGCAATTCTTCAAAATTTCTATCGACAGATTCTCTCAGCATACCTATATCCTGTGAACAAAATAAAATAAAAAAGTTATTAGATAAAAGAGCCAGATAAGCAACAAGAGTCTTATCTTAAAACAACATGTTAAAAATAACATGAAATTGAGAGGTAACAGTGTATTCTTTCTTTCATTAATATATGGACTGTTTTAAACCACAATGCCAAAGAAGTCAGCTTTTCCCTATTTCAATACGCCAAAAATTAATCAGGCGACCTAGAATGCCTTTAAACTCTTTGATAGTTTCAGACGCTTAACACGTTTACCTTACCTGAAAGGTCAATGTTTGCAATGCAAACATTTTTCGCTCCAACTCCCTTAAACGATCACCATACACAAACACCACGAAAAGAAACTGGATGCATGTTTTGGCGGCAATCATGTTACTAATAACTGTATCCTCACCTAAAAATATCACATCATAATACAAGTTTTAATCAAGAGAGCAATCATTCGGACTAAATATAAAAAGCAAATGAATAAACAACAGTTTATATCATTGCCTCTATTTAGAGACATATAATATTGCACACGTTTTCTAATTCGACAAATTTCGTTACTTTCTTTTCTTATTAATTTCATGTAAATATACATGTTGTAATTGATTGATATAAAAATAATGTGAGGTTTCTAAACGCATTCTAAGTAAAAAGCGTTGGTTGGAAAAGATGAAGAATTTCTTGAACTTTTCCATTTCCATGTAGCTAGATTAAAAGCATAAACAATTTTCTTCTTTTTTTCTTTTCATATTAATGTGTTCATATAACAGACATCAGAAGAGATTGCGCACTATTTGTCTTATAAATATTGTAAATTTCAATGTAGGGTAGTTTCATATTAATTATCTATAAAACAAAAACGGACAGTTATTTTTTACTTTCAAAATTATGCAGTGGATGTGTAAGTGAAGCAAAGAGGACACAAACAAACGCCACTTATGTGTGTTTATAAAATAAATTTACAATGAAATGGCTCATTTACTCGGGTATCAATATTTTACGTGAAATGAGAAAAACTGACTGTCACAAGGAACATCTGTTTGCTAAATTACATGATTGGTCCATAAGTATATATCTTCAAAAAAAAGAGTCAAAAACAGACTGATCAAAACAAACAGACTAAAGCCTCTCTGGATTTGCGTATGGTCTTATATTAACAATATCAAACATAGAGTTCAAAACATAAAACGTTCAATCAAAGTATTCCTTGACATGAGCTTACTTACAAAAAAATTAAACACTATAAAATACAATACGTAATCAATTGTCTAATCAATAATAAAATTGATTACTTAGCTCCATCCCGCGCACACATCTCCATAACATCACATCATTAATTACCATAAGTGATATTACATTACTATTTTATTGAAGTTCAATAAATCTTAATGAATCTTGTTGCCCTTTTATTCCCAAAATTTTTACAATCATTCTAGCGAAATGATTTTTAACGTTTCAGAACATTGACAACAAATTTGACAAGAACAAATGATGAAAGGATTTTCTTAAATATTACTTTTTTCTGTTGCAGTAAATATGTTCAATAAATTGATAATAGAGACATGTGATTTGCATTGCGTATATCTTTTTTACACAACTGTTTGTTATAAAGACATATGAGAACATATTTGTTTAATTGTTCAGTCCATTATTTCGCATAATGGACGGCTTTTTGAAGCTTCTCCTTATTTATATAGCAAACATGTTTTCAAAATCTTATTTTCTCTTATTGAGACTTTTGTTGAAATAAATTAACACAACTTTTATACAACGTATATTTTTCTTTCAAGAAAAAAATAGAATATCAGTTGCAAATAAATGAATTGATACTTACATACGCTTAAACATAAAATAAAAAAATGTCTATTTTCCAAATAAAACTAAATGTATCGCGATGGTTTGCACGCAAGCTCCAACACGTTTGAAAACAACTCTGAGACCTTGAAACTAGTTGTTATGTTATTTGCGTTTCGTTTTATGTAGTCCTTTACAGTTTTAGCAATAACACTTATAAATACTTGAAAAAGATCATTATAAAATGTAAAAGACTAAGTGGGAGTGCCACCCTGGACATATCTCGAGCTTATATTGGTAATTAAGATTGAAAGTTTTTATATAAAATGTCGGCTAAGTGATGTGAATATTTTAATAAGATAAACAAATCAATCTCCAGATAAAAAGACCAAACAAGTTTACCACAATGCTCACAGACTTTAAAGGAAATCTTTTTGTATTCGTCGTTCTATCACACCAGAAATTTTCTGTGATGAAAAATATGTATGTACTATATGAGTGTTTGAAATAATATCGGAAGTAAATCTGAGTCAAAGCAGAAACGCTTTAAAACAAACATAGACAACAATGAAATAAAACAACGTTGAAAAAATAATATACATTCACGAAAAACATGATCTTTTGTTTATCTAATTATTTTAAAATCGTTTCGCCAACGTAATGTTTTTGTTAGAAATTAAATTTTCAGTACTTGCAATACAGATCATGCTATATAATATGTATGTTTACTACATGTACATGCCATTTTATTGCTCATATTATTTTAGAAGGCAAATCTGGTGTTGTCTCAAATCATAATGTTCAGAAATTGCCTAAACGGAAACCCGTATTTCGCTGATTTTAACCCGTGATAAAGACAAAATGTATACGAAATCAAGGACATACACTTAATAAGAGATTTGTTAATTTGGAAGATTTTATAATCTACCAGGAAGAAACCGTTAAATCAAATAGCATACGGAGTATTAAACTATATAAATTCAAGATGAAAAAATAATAATAAAGAGGGTAAAAAAATAACTCAAGCCTCTTATATATTTTTGTAAGTTTTGTTAACATAACTTTAATATTTTACATCATACATTATGATTTTTTAGGTAATATAAAGGAAAATTTTACTAAAAGGCTATTTTACTCTGTTAACATGTATATGCAAGATTGTACACATAATATTGCAACACATCTATTTTTATCAAATTATCAAATAATTTGTTACACAAAATATTTACCTTTGTAATCACACAAATGTTGTTTGGATGGTTGGCATCAACAAATGGAGTTTTATACGAATAATCTAATACTATATATAAAAAAAGAACAAATTGCCGATCAAACAAAAAACCAATCATACCACACGGATATCTCCTAGCCATACTCCTTGACATTGAGCTATGCGGCTTGTATTTCTTTAAAGGAGAACCTCAGATTTATACAATTTCTTATCGGCAACTCAATCATACAAATTTTGTTTGGCCGGTTGGCATCAGAAAATGTTTTGCTTTTTTACGAAGCATTTTACTTTTTACATGACTGTATAAAGAAAAAGAAGAAGTTGTCGGTCCAAAAAAACGACATTTCAACTCGGAAATTTCCTAGCCATGTTCTTTCTGTAAATGAGAGCCTAGAAACTAGTATTATTTCAAATCGGCAACGCAATCACACAAAAGGTGTTTGAACGGTTGGCATCCTAAAAAGGTGTTGTTTTTTTACGAAATGTTTTACACTTTACACACTATAAAAAGAACAATCGTTGGTCATGACAAAAATTTTGGACACATTTTGCGCATTTCTCTTGTTCTCTCTGCGACCTAAAAGAAGAACCGTCATGCAAAGCCCCAATTCGCCAAAAAACTTACGGATTGAATGTTGTAACCTCTCCAGTAAAATCACAAAGATTTTCTATAATTACAACAAAAAATATTGTTTCAGCTACACAGATGTTGCAGAAACTAAGAAGATCGCGCAAGTGAATAGCACCCTAACCAGGAAAAGCACAAGCAAATTCTGTGAAAACATAATAAAAAAGCCGAAAAAATATAATTAAACCATTGTTACAGTAACTGTTTTAATTCATTAATTTGATTGCAACTCTTAAATGATCACCATTATGAGTACAATAATTGAATTGCTACCCCAAGGTCAAGGTCACACTTACAGATCAAATGCTAGAAAGTCTACATTCCGTGTCTATTCATAACATTTTAACCGCTGCAATGTTTTTGAGACAACTTGGCAGAAATGATCACCATTATGACACCATTATGACACCATTGGCAGAGCACAATAATCAAGTAACAACCCTGAAAGTCAGGGTCACACTCAAAGGTCCAATGTAAAAACATCTATTTTAAATGTCCACTTATTGACAATTCAAAAGTTTTAAAATTACTTGGCACGAATGATCCCAACCATGACACAATCTGCAAAGCTCAAAATCCAGGTTGCTACCCCCAAGGTCAAGGTTATACGTTCTCCATAACTTTTTGACTTTATGGAAGTATTTAAATAACTTGGCAGAAATAATCACTATCGTGAGACTATGTGCTTATGATATGCATGAAACAACATCAAGGTCACGGTTGGTAAAAGGTCAAGAAGTACACATTCATGTTCACTGCGGAATGGGATTTAGCTGTCCTTTAGACTCCGTTGTATTGTTTTGTATGGATGTCTTGAGATAATAGCTAGATAGTGCTATACTAAACATCTAGGTCAAAAGTGTGTTGAGTTTTTGGAACTTATTGTGCAGTACGCCACTCATTTGCAGAAATATTCAAGTTAATCAGATGATTGTTTTTTTGTCCGATTTGTATTTTCTTCATATGTTTTATTGTATTTTATCATTATTTGTCAATGGTGTAAACTAAGATTCGATAAATGATAAAAGAATATATGTTTTTGCAAGGCTGGCAAGATTGTTTTACATCGCTCAGGCGCATTTATGCTATTATTTACATTTCTCAAAACTTTTGTTTTTGGTATCTTGTTACAGTTTCCAAAGATAAGCACCAAAAAAACTAATTTGTTACATACACGAATTATCTTTAGGTTTTTTTTGCTCTGTCGCCAATTGGTATAATCATACGGAATTAGTTTTTTGTATGGAAGTCAAAATATGATTAATATGATTAAAGGAGCTTTTTTTCCCTTTTTTTGTTGGACTTTAAGACACACGAACACAGTGCAGGTCTATTGGCAATTATCCAGCTTTACTGGTGGAGGTGCCCTTCCGTGCATTATTTCAGGCACGAACGAATAACTGCGAAGAACCATTCCGTTAGCTAGCTTGATAATTTCCTTACATGAAAGAATTCGAAGTCCCTGCCGGGGTTCGATTCCACAGCAATAAGTTGCAAGTTGTTTGAAGTCAACGATCTTAATCACTAGGACACGGACGTTTTGGCTCTGAGGTTAAAAAGCCTTTAAACATTTAATCTAAAAAAAGATTACAGTAAGACATACAATATGGAGCATTACAGGAATCTTGAATGACTTTATATCTAATAACCTGAATCTTGAAATACTTTTTACAAATTGAAACAGAAGTTTGGAAAGTATGTCATGTCTTATTAACCTTGATGCCGATCACCAAACATTGCCGCTTTCGCTCCCTATTTAGGTTCTTCAAACAATAAAGACATATTTATCGCCACTCGGACTTTACTATTTGCATTTTTGTATCAAAGTTTATTTTTGTATAATTGATTCTTTTTTTATTGTCCTTTAGTCAAAGCCGACATTATATTAATATTTCTTTTATGGACATCTTCATAATGGCGAGAAACAACTGAATAATAGTCTCAGCCAAACTAATAACGAGAGTTATGAGGAGTGTATCATCGAAAAATTGAATAATTTCTTTTAAAGTAATCCAAGAAAGAAAATTCGTTTAAATAGCTAAAAAAACAAGGCAAATAAGAAACAAAACAAAATAAAATCTATAAAAACATCTACCCCCTCCCTAAAACAAGAAACAACATTAACAACAACCAAGAAAACAAAAAAATGTCATAAAAACGCGTAAAAATTGCCATGACATATAACATTACATATCTGGAAACAGGATAATCATTACGAAACACTATATACAGATATTTACCGGAAACATTTTGATCTTAACGTGGTGACTTGTAGACAAATAAATTACTTTTATGACCCACCTAATTCATTTCGTATGTTTAACTGATTGATGTAAACGCGGAAATTTTCCTTCGTTAAATAAATGGATAAGATGTTTGAAAAAAGAAAACAAAATGTTCAGTGAATTAGTTTCCAACCATATTCATTACAATTGCTTTTAGTTATATTACTATGTCTGCGTCGGAAAAGGTTATATGTCTACAATATCTACAATGTGTATCATTTGTTAAGGACACAGCTATTGTCTGTGTATCTGAGTTTATTTATACTCGCCACCGGTTGCCCATATGAGCGAGTTCTCCAGAAGAGTAATAGTCATTTTAGATTTAGGGGGATAGTGCAAGATACGGATACAGAAATATGCCCCAATCCAGAAACTTATTCTGGTTGTTTAGAATGCCAAGTGTTTCAGCACTGATACGCGGGATCTCGATTCAAAATCTCACCCGAAAGATTGCTTAGTAATTTTAGTTGGCCAGCCCGGGAATCGAACTCACAATGTCGAAATAACAAATCTCACGCTCTTACCGATAGAACTATGCGGACTGGCATGACGCATCTAATTTCAACTGTAAGACATTAAAATTTAGACAAACAACTTTGAGAGTTTTAACACAATACAAATGCATGACACCTTAAACATGAAACGTACAAACAGACCTTCATGATATTGTTATTTTATTGTGCTTTAATATTTTTTCTTATGTATGGTTTTGGAAAATAATAATTAATACTTGATTGAATGCAAATTATTTATCATCTTTTATTACAGATGTTTGAAAAGCCCTACATTATAAACCTCTCACGGGAACAATTAACGGAGTTGCCTTCTTGCCTTAGAAAGACATCGAAAAAATATGAACAAAACAAAAAAAAACGAATTACAAAATTATGAAACCGACGAGAGGCGTTAATTTAATTTGTTTCTTTTTTAATTTCTAATCAACCAAATTATATCATTTTAATGACTCGGATTCTTTAAAAGAAAACTACAATTCAATTTCTGAAACTTGATATTTTTGTTCATAAAATCGTCTCATTATTGAAAATTAATTAAACAACGTTTCAGTAGCAGCTATTTTATCAAGCTAATGACATTATGAATTCATATCTCTGCAATATTTTCTTTAATAATTTAACCTTGAATTCTCTGTTATGTTTATACAGTTTCGCCCTCCGTATTTTAGAAAATACAAGTTTTCCTGGTCAATGTTCGAGCCGTTATACATGATATGTTTAAAGAAAGCACACAAATTAATTATACTTGTATGAATCAAGATATGCTTTAATAGAATAATTCAATGGTCATTGCAACTTGAATATAAAAGCAAAAATGAGTTACATGTTTTATAACACACTTTGTAACTTTGAATCATATATCTTAATTGTAAAGATGAATTACTGCCATAACTAAGTAAATCTGCCCGATTTGTTTCCAATCCTTTTGCTGGGGATTAAGCGCCGGTGATAGGGGGCGTAAATGATACTTCACCTTTTATTATCTCTCATTAACAAAAATCTGGAAACAAAGTTATCCCTCGGAAGCATTAAGCACAACAAAATTAAGAGAGAATTGCAGGCTCGATTTCATTGAGTATGTACATGAGGGATAATGAATAGGTGCAATAATGAAAGTCAATCAAACCGAGATTATGCACATCGTCTTATTATGGTGATCACTTGTGCCAAGTTATTTTGAAAAAAAAATCAGCGGTTAAAAAGTTATGGAGCGGACGTGAAAGGTTTCGGACGGATGGACGGACGGACGGAAGTCAAGAGAAAATAACTAAAAAAAGAACATGACAAACGAACAACTGTGTACATATTTAATATATTCTAGTACACAATGCAGTCTTTACAAAAAGAACATGATACTGATTGTTAAAATATTTTCCTATTTCTTCAGTCCATAGCAAGGAACAAATGAATATTTTTAATATATTCTGGTAGAAAATCCAATCTTTGCAAAAAGAGCATGATGCTGATTTATAAAATACACTGTATTTTCCTATTTATTCAGTCCCTAGAAATGAGGCGAAAGTCTTATATAAAAACGATAGTCACTCAAGTACTTTATTTTGAGCATTTCTTTCATTTTACCGATTTCCATTCATACAATGGGATAGACTTAGTTACGTTGACATTGTTCACTTGCTATGGATTTTCATTCAAAACCATGAATCTAATTCTCTAGCACGCATTGTCAGAAATACAAGAAAACGGCAAATGCTTTTAATGTCATAAAGCCATTTTCTAGCAAGTTGGATTCAATTCAAATAAATGAAAATTTGGTTTTTCAGAGTTCACAAAAGATGAGGTGATATCATTAGAACTGATATCAGTGTTCCATGCCAAAGCATTATCTAGCTGTATATAAAAGTAATATGTACCATGAAGAAAAAATAATCGGCTCGATTTTGCGTGTGATTTCTCTTTGTATATATAGAGAGAAATATATATGTAAGTACATAATAACTTTATTAAAATTGTTTTCCAGAAAAAATATTTGAATAAATTCTTATAGACATGAGGAAGGACTTAATCTAATAGCTACCTTTACACACAAAGAATTTGACTTTATAAATAAGCGTAAAAATAATATATTAGCCCTTATCTAAATTGTGAAAAAATGGCTGTGGAAATAAGCGTGAAAATAATACATTAACCATTATCTTAAATGGTTATGTCTATCTTATAATCTGGGGTAAACCATTTATCATTAATTTTGGGGAAATTTTAAAAATAACCGCTGTCTGAATAGTGAACAGTGCAGACCATGATCAGACTGCATGGATATATCGGCTGATCTTGGTCTGAACTAGTTGTATTGCTAGAGTCTGTAGCTAACAGCAAACTTTAGGTTAAATAACTTTAAACAGTTTCGAGTGAAAGCTTTACTCATAATTTTAAGGCAAAGTAAGTAGGAGAAAAACTCGGTAATTTAAAGTATATATTTACAAAAAGATCTTTGTCAAGAATAGAAGTAAAATTAAATGCATGTGCATTAATTTACCACACTGGTAGTAAACTATTAATAATGGTTGAAATATTGTTTTGAAGTTTCAATTTGAAAGTACATTTGAGCTCATATTTGCGTTAATTTAAAAATGTACAATATTGATGTGTTTTGTAAAATATCAAATAAAAGTAATAGTTACCTAAATATCATTTTTCTCACTAGTTAATGAACTATTTGAAGCATTTGAGTTATTTTACTAACAAAACATTTCAAACTTAACGAGATTTGATTATCTATGCGCCGTTAATATTGTTATTTATTAACACAAGCGCTTATTTTTCATCCACATTTCTTAAACGATTATATAGTATTCTCACAATATATGCATTATAATGACATTTTATCAGAAATTCACTTTCCAGACAAAAACATCCGATGAAGTTCCTTTTAGTATTAAAAATAATCGCTTGCATCGATAAGCATAAGGAGCAAAACTTAAAAATCTGGAAAAAGACAAGTAGTTGACAATTTCAGATCCAGTTTGCCCCGTAGCACCGGCTTAAACCGAATTCAACCCCAACACTAAACGTTTGGCAACAATAACCATAGAGACTTTCACGTGGTCCATTTCAATACTCAGTCAAGTCCATTTTAATTAATAGTCAAGTATTTTTTATTATTTTTATTGTTGAAGCAATTTTTTTCTTTTTCATTTAAGAATTCCATAATCATGTCAATTTCGGAGTGTTACTTGCGTATATGCATTAATTCCTTTTATAAATTTCAATATAATTCAAAGATTTTTTTCTCCGAAGGAAAACATTAAGGACATCTCAACTAAGTCTTAATCGTACAAAGACACTCGGTCACTGATAAAATGTTAAAAAAAGTGTACTAACTATTTATGAACTATATGGTATGTTCTTTGGATATTCAAATGCTTAAATTATTTTATGTGACTGTTAGGTCAACACCAATAGAGAAGATATCCTAAATTATTCAATAAAAGCATAGTATGTTAACATAAAGAAAACCTATATATTAGGAGTATGTAAAAACATTATGTGTATGGATTTGTTAAAAAAAACACCTTTTTTCATTACAAACAAATGATCAGTCCCTACATTCAACACCAACATCCTCGCTATGTCCACAATCGGATGTGTCATAATCAATTTCACAATTAAACAAATTCTTTTCTTTCCGATTACATTTAACGTTATCAAACAAAATTGGGCCAGTTCCTTCACCATAATATGCACTTTGTCTAGGAACGCCTCCGCCATTAAAGCCCAGGGTCCTGCAGGCAACCTCAGCTTCACTTGTTCCAAATTCATCATCGCATACTGTTCCCCATTTCCCATGAAGGAAGACTTCGAGTCTACCAGAAGAAGCCGATCCCCCAACTAACCGTACGTCCTTAAACTCACCCGATGATGACAATAGATTAATAATCTTCTCCGAGTTTTGTACCGCCACAGAACAAGTTTTAAACACATCTTTGTCTGAACTAGACTTCTTCTGCTCATTCCTTATGGTGCTAAGACTCGAGATAATGCTTTCACTGAAATTTTTATTTACATCCGATAGAGCCCCAAGTTTGAGTGTGTTTACCAATTCACGATCTTTTATCGCAGTCACATTTTCCGAAATTATCTTGAGTATTTCTTTGACACTTATAACGTCTTCCAAAGTATCTTTTGTGAACGACATCACTGCATTCACAGAAATGCTTGTTTCATTAACTTTGTCAGCTATTTCATTTGAATGCTTTTCGATTCTTTTGTGGAGACCTTTTACCTCATTACCCAAATCCTCTTTCCAAGAATGAAAGAACATTTTTTGATCTTTGAAGCCCCGTTTAAGTCTTCTGACTTCTGACTCCAATTCTGTTCCATCTGATTCTGGTTCTTCCTCCTTACTGTCAGGAGCAGATGTTTGTACTGGAGTAGGTAGATGTGCTGTTTGCGAAAGGGACGCATTAATTATCATACTAATTCGTTCCAATTCCTCAAAGTTCCTATCAACAGACTCTCTAAGCATACTTATATCCTGTGAACAAAATAAGAATATAGATAAAGTGCTAAGTTGGTTCATGTGAATCTATCAAAATGATCAATATATGAAAAATAATCTTATAAAAAACATATAGTGAGTTATGGTTTTTTTCATATCAAATGCGCTGGACTAATCTAAAATATGACAGTCATATATCCAAAATTGTCTTAACAACACTACCCAGAATGCACACTATAGAACGTTTGTTAGTTAATTTTCCATATCAACTTAGATTGTAATAGAAACATAGGTTATGATACATAAGATGCGTTTCTTACCTGATAGGTCATTGTTTGCATTGAAAGCATTTTACGCTCTAATTTCCTTAAACGATCGCAATGCACAAACAATATGCAAATGAACAGGATGCCTGCTTTGACGACAATCATGTTACTACAACAAATTTGGTCACCTGAAACTACGACAATTATTATTACTTATATAATAATTATTTTCATAACATTTAAGGTTTTGTTTGTTTGTTTCATTTTACGCCTTTTCCCAACAGTATTTCAGTCATATAGGCGGGTAGTTTCCTAACCATCGTTCCTGGAGAGTTACACCAGTACTTGACTACCTACCTCGGTTCTAAACTACCAAAGCATCTCCCGGGGATCGAACCCACGCCAGAGAGGTAACTGAATTAGAAGTCATCCACTCTAACCCCTCGATCACGGAGGCGGTCTCACATTTAAAGATATACATGTTATTAATTATATTATTATTATTATTATTATTATTATTATTATTATTATCATTATTATTATTATTATTATTATCATAAACATGTTTATATTACTATAGTTAAGGAAACTCATTAACAAAGCGGATTTTATCTTTGTTAATAAATTATCTGAATTTCATTTATTACATATCAAAAACCAAATTATATTTTTAAGTATTGGTAACATAATTTTAAAATGTCAGATAATATAAGTTTTATTCAGAATATGTTTCCATGTTAAACAAACAAAAAGTAATCAGTTGCAAAAAAGTGAAATTATATTTACATAAACTTCTTAATTATTGTTAAATAAATCTTTCTTACACAGAAAACCCTTGAGCTAAATTTTATCCATATTCAAGATGTTTAGCACGCTCGCACATAGAATTGATAAACAACTTTGCAACCTTGAAACTAATCACTTAATTATTGCCATTGGTTGTATAATTATAGCTCGTTAATACTCAAAGCACTTGCAGTTTCTACAGCTATACTTATTGATAATTGGCACAAAGATCATTATATAACGGAAAATGAAACAAATTTGGGTGTACCATTCAGTAACATTTCTCTATTTCATAATTGTACTAATAACTAATGTATAAGTTTTTATATAATACATGTCATCAAATAGTTGTAAAATTTTGGTAAGAAGTAAGCAAATTTCGATAAAAGTTTTGGAAATTGAGTGTGATTACAATGCATTCTAAAATGAAATAATGACTAACATTAAAATGTCCTTTTTCCTTCCTATCGTTTGCTGTTTGTATATCGACAATTTTTAACTGATAAATATAATGTTAATGTACGATGTGTTGATCAAGATATTTGTAGATTAACACTATATCTAGGTTGCGTCACATATAAAGGAAAAATAAAATATATTTTCATAAAATATACTCTTACATTAAAAGTAAGTGAAAAAATGTTACACAAAACTTTGCAAGCACGTTCAATAAGTACTTGTTACATATACACCATCTTAAAGCCGTTGCCCATGAAGCGCGACATTTCATTTGTGACGTTATGAACGTCAACGTCATAATAATTTGCGCTGTGCAGCAGTCGCTTTGAATAAGCTAGTGTAACTTAGAAAAGTGTGTTAAATAAATTTATGTCGTGGACCGCACTACAAAAGTTAAAATGCATCTTAAAAACGACTTAAAATCTATTTTATAAAATTGCAAGTTTCATTGCTAGTTTACTTTATAATGAGTGTCGTTTTAATATAGTCTATCTTCGGCAGTCTTCAAACGAGCGATATATCGACGCCAAAAATGACGTCCTTTCGGTCCTACATGTAGTAATCCACCAGGTCAGTCAGTCTTTCCGTGAACCTGTTGTGTTACTAAAATAACAGTGCGCGACACACTTACACTTCGTTCACAGCCTTTTTTGTCAAAGTTTCACTAGGCGTTTGACTAAATTCTTACAAAACGTTATGTTCGTGCGAATTTTAGGTCATTCAAGATTTTTCATTATGGTGCAACAGCTGTAACAAATACCAAATTTAAAATTTTATTTATATTGCTGTAATTAACGTCGAAAAGATGTTATTTTTGCTGACGATGTCATAGTGACGTTCTTACGTATAATTAAGGGCGTTTGTTTAAAAACGAACTCTAAAAATATAATGACAAAAATGTATTTCTTGAATTCCTAGCTCTAAGTTAGAGGTGGCCGTTTACCGATTACCATAGTAATCTGAATCAACCCTTGTACACGTATATATTAATATGTACATAGTATAATATACCAATATATTTTTTCTGATTCTGAAAACTCACATTTAAGCTGTACGGATCTTAAAGAATCACTCCAACAATGTCTGAAACGTAAAATAGTGTTTCTTTTTTTTTTTTTTTTTTTTTTTTTTCAGAAATAAATCTTTTAACAATGACCAGACTACAAATCATGTATGTCGCTTAACACGACCAAATCGGTGTCATTGAGCATGTTTTAGGATGGCAATGTTTACAACAAGCGACAAATAACGCCCTTAGCCCGTGCTTTAGTTTGATGCAATTTGTTCCAAGAAAATGGAGAAATTTTGAAAATAGAAACATATACAGATCTTTTTTACGTCTGTAATGTTTATATAACCTTATATACATGTATTTGTGACTCCATGTAATGTTTATGCTAAAACTAATTAATTAAGCCTGTGTATCACTGACAGCTTTCAAAAAAGAAAACACATTAAAATCTTCTTGAATGATATTTACAATGCATATAGATTAGATATTTGGCAAGTAGGATTGTCCAGTGGATCTCAACATAAGATGCTTGTTACAAAGGGGCCTTGTTGACAAAACATCAGATGTGTTTGAAAAGAAGAAAACATCTTTATGGATAGTGTTTGTTTATAATTTCAAAACGTGTTTATACATTAGAAAGAATAAGAACTTTATTTCTATTGAGAATAGCATAAATTTTCAAAACAAAACACAAACAAAAAATACTTACAGACACTTGTATTGAGAGTCTTCAATTCGATATTAAGATAAAGTTATTTTTTTATGATAACAAAGGATTAAATAAAATAACTTAACTTTATGATAACAAATGATGAAATAAAATAGCTTTAGTTGATTTTGCCTCTAGATATTGTATAATATTAATGTTGTTGTAATTAATTTGTCATTATTTTAATGGACTTAGAATATTGAAAAGTGTATAAAATATGTGTATTTGTTATAAACTAAGAAGGCGTATTTACACATTTTGTACAATATTTAGAAGTCAAATCAATTAAAATAATATTAACATGATCCCAATCGTTTTGTCGATACTAGTGAATGCGAGGCTTGAGGTTACAGTTTCTTTTGTCTGATCACATTGTTTGAGCAAAGTCAGCTTTTGCTTATCTTATCAAAATGTTCCAATTTTTTGCCTGACATTTTTTATATTAAAATTAACATCTCAATTGCCATCATTAAATCGAGATATGTCACATTGCGGAACTCCCAATTCTGTTACATTTTGATTCATATAATGATCATTATTGCCAATTTATATGTATAAATGTAGAAACTGTAAGTGCTACAAGTATTAGCGAGACATAATTATACAAACCGAAACGCACATTTAATAACTCGTTTCGAGGTCGCACAGTTGTTAACAAAATACAAACTACAGGGCGTGCGGACAAAGCATCTTAGATTAAACAAGGGATTTATTTCTAGTGTGCGTTTTCTGAAATTCGAATATAAATGAAATTGATTTATTGAATATAAAGAATGTAAATATAATTGTGTATATTTGCTATGGATAATTTTTGATTGTTGGAAACATTTTGCATAAATGTAATAAAAACTCATATTTTCTTCGGTATTTTAAGAGAACATACAATTTCTTTTTGTTTTGTTTTTTGAAAGTGAAACCAAGCTTATCAGTTTCTATAAAATAGATAGCATAAATGATATTTAGGTATTTAATGTAGTGACATCAGATATATTTATCATTTTTACCCCTCTTAGTACATTAAATAGAATGATATTAACAAGCATTGTCCTTTTTTCAGTGACCAACTTTGTTGTAGTATAACATGAGTGTCGTCAAAGCAGGCATCCTGTTCCTTTGCATATTGTTTGTGCATTGTGATCGTTTGAGGCAATTAGAGCGCAAAATGTTTACAATGCAAACAATGGTCTTTCAGGTAAAATGGTTATGATTTGCGATATTAACTATTTTAATTTTGAATTTCAAAAGTTTTAGTTGATAAGAAAATGAACTTGGCTAACGTTCTTTGTTATGCAATTAAGGTCGCACCTTCGGGACTATTTTGGAATATATATCAATATAAGTAACCTTTATCATTTTGTTTTTATCATTCTTTTGCATTTGATAATAACACAAATCCTGCTTATTTAAAGTTTGACTTCAAATGTTGGTAACATAATCATTCATTGTATATGGATCACCTGAAAACTTAATTAAAATATTGTACGAATATTTTGTCCACAGGATATAGGTATGCTTAGAGAATCTGCCGATAGAAACTTTGAGGAATTGCAACGACTTAGTATGATTATCAATGCATCTCTTTCCCAAAAATCACTTCTACCTACTCCAGTACAAACATCTGCTCCGGACAGTAAGGAGGAAGAGTCTGAGTCTAAAGTAACACATTTAGAGTCACAAGTCAGAAGAATCAAACGGGGCTTCAAAGACCAAAAACTGTTCTTTCATTCTTGGAAAGAGAATTTGAGTAATGAGGTAAAAGATCTTCAAACAATAATCGAAAAGCATTCTAATGAAATAGCAGATAAAGTTAAAAATGAAACAAGCAATGCTGTGAATGCAATGATGTCGTTCACAAAGGAGGTCATTGGGAGTAAAATAAAGGGTATTCAAGACAGTTTAGAATTCGTTATGAAATTCCAAGACACACTTGATTCAATTTCACAAAATGTAACTACTATAAAAGACAGTGAAGTAATAAACACACGCAAACTAAACGCTTTATCGACAGTACATAGAAATTTCAGTGAAGAATTCATTTCTAGTATTGAAGTCATAAAGAATGAACAAAAAATCTCTACATTTAGTAAAGACGTGTTAAACATTTGTTCTGCGGCGGTACAAAACTCGGAACATATTATAAATGTGTTGTTTTCGTCTGTTAATAATCAAATCAGGTTAGTTGATGGACCGACGGCTTCTTCTGGTAGACTCGAAGTACTCGTGAAGGGCGCTTGGGGAACAGTATGTGATGATAGTTTTGGTGTCGATGACGCTAATGTAGCCTGCAAGGCACTGGGCTTTAAACGTGGTATTCACAGACATGAAGCATATTATGGGAGAGGTTCTGGTCCTATATTGTTTGATGAAGTACAATGTAAAGGTAACGAACGGAATTTGCTTTATTGTAAAATTGATTTCGACACGTCCGATTGCAATCATGGGGAGGATGCTGGTGTTGACTGTTACAACTGAAATTGTGTTTATTATGAATCAGATTGCTTATAACTAAGCCATGCATATAATGCACACAAAAATGCATTGGTTTTTATTACATTTGTCTACATTTTTATCTGCCTTTTAATCATTACTGTAAGGATATCTTCTCGATATTTTCTACTGTTTTTGTACGAACAGTACAGGAAATTGATTAAGTATTTGAAAACCCGAATAAAATATTAATGATGAATAGTATTTTCATTATTCATAACAATTTATTATTGAGTGAGTGTATGTGCACGATCCAAACTATATCAACTTAATCGTTTGTGTATCATTGAAGAATTTAAAACAATGAAGTAACCTGGAATGTATTTATTGAAAAGACTTGGTGTTAATAAAGATCAACGCCCCGAAAATCAGTGCTTTGTAAAGGAACCATGACCTACGACTTACAATAAAGGCATGAATACTTTCAAAAAAGAGTGTTACAAGAATAAAGAAATATTAACCAACGATCTCTTATATTATCAGATGCCAAATTATTTCAAACAGCATCCATAAATGAATAAAAAAGATATTATCAGGCCAATTTAGCAATGTACAACAATTATTATGACGTTCATGTATGGCGTTGACCTTTCTAGCTGTCGACGTGACTAGTGTTATTAATGTGCCACACAATTATAAAGACCCGAAACGACTAGTCAAGTACTTGAAATCTAAGTATGGCATAGACCTTTATACAACAAGCTTGTTCCTACGCATCACATATTCACAGGCATCATACAATGTTTTGTAGAACTACATATTTTAACCAAATTATTTTAAAATATATTAAGTTATGCAAAAATATTTTAAAATATATTAATTTATATTAAGATAGTGAAGATAGTTAAGATATAAACTTGACTAACAATGCACCAGCAAATCGTGACTTTAGATTATATAAATTTGGCATTGACAGTAAGGCTTCTGAACCGACACTTATTTACTATCACATGCACTTTTTTTAAAAATCTACCTATAAATGACAAAATTGTTGCAATGACAAAAACATCAATGCACTTCATTGAAAAATTTCCTGTCACATAAAGTGTGACTTATGTTTATTGAATGTTACTTGCATTCATTGCAGTATAAATAATGCAACGAATGTAAGTAACACTGATTCTAGTTTAGTTTGAAGACTTTTGTTGGGTAACTTACGTCAGTATAATAAATGTATTCTTTCAGCTGAAAAAAATGATATTTTGGTCCTATAATCTAATGATGATACATTTCGAAACAATAATCAATTCATTTAGTGTTCTACTACCATTTTAGTTCAATAGGTTAAGGTGTAAAGTCAATGTAATGAATGCCTCGAATTATTTGAATAAATATATCATGTACATACATTTACATTTTTATGTTGGTATGTAGGTTACTATATTTTTGCTTCTATTTTATGCCTTTTTTATTTCTATTCAGATTTACTTTTCATCTATGTGTCAATAGCTTTTGATGTACAGTTTTTTTCTGCTTTAATCTAGAGCTAATATTTTTTATGCTTTTTATATTTTTTATGTGCATGTAGATTCAATATTAGATCGTTGTCTATTTTTCTGTGAAAATTTTGTTATTTACTTTACAATTTTATTCATTTGTAAAAAGTTTCTATATTTTGTATTTTTCTTGTCTAGTAAGTTTTGTACACTATTGCAGTGTGCCCATGCACGTGACTTTGAATCCTTTCTAAAAATGGCTATCAGAAAAAGTCGCTCAATTCAAATCTTTAAAATCACGTAAGATATTTATTTCTTTATCTGATTTGACCAAATAAAGAGGAAAGTTGTATAAATCAAGTGTATGGTAATGATTTCTTTTTAAGGGAAACGTGGAAAATTGGCCGGAAAAATGAAAAACTATATATATATTCTTAATGTCTGTGCGGTTAGAAAAAGGAGAAAAAAATTTCTTATTCGTCTTCCATTTTTCCCATGTGTAATAGGTATTATGTTATTTTCTCTATGATCATAAAGCTTCTTAATTTAGCATTTTCTTGGTAAAGTAATGTCCTTTTATGCATTACTATTTTCTCATGTATATTTTTCATAACATAACGTGGACAAGTGGCACTTATTTCGTATCTTATGATATCACCTCGAAATCTACAAATTTGACAAAACTGGATATTTTTTATCGAATGCAGCCAAACTTGATCGGGCAATGATCTAATAACATTTAATTCTTAAATTTATTCCTTTGTATGCATTAAAATGAAAAGACCAAAATAAAGCGAATGCGTGTAATGTTTCTTCTCATTGCTGACAACCGAATATAGCTTAAACGAAAAGTATGAGCAGAATTAATTGAATTGTTTGTGTTTTTGTACATTACAATACTTGCATGTATCTACTTGAGATTAAATATACATTTATAGTATGTCGACCGTTTGTTATTGTTTTTAATTTTGATTTCATTGTTGTTGTTGTTTTATTACATTTTTCCTTGTCTGGCTGGAGCAAACAGTCCCAGTCTTACAGTACCACACAAGAAAATCAAACGAAATCGTATCGCGGTTAAGTCTAGACAGTTGTAACTAACAAGTCAAGTTCATACGCCAGTCATTTGCATTCATAGTCATTTGTTGTTGGTCAAATTTGTCCAAGCCAAATAGTACTACACTGACCATCGGAGTAATACGACTGCTGAGCATTAATTTTTTTCTGCACCTAAAAATAGAGACTAAAAAGGGTTGAAGCAACATACTAAACAACATATTCCGGTATATACCAGACAGGGCGCTTGAATGATAATGCTAAAATATCGCCTTTTGACATGTATAATTGCACTTCAAAACATCTAATTCATCTGTTCACATCGATTTATATTTGAACATGAATGAAAAAAGTAAGAATCGATGAAAAAGATATATGTTTCTACCTTGTGATCTTGATTTCTGCAAGCGTCTACAGGTATTGCTCCAGAACTGTATTGAATTAAGGCATAACATGATGGGATGGTCCGCCATTATGTACGAAAGTAATGTCATGTTATCTATCCAATTTTGAGCAGCGATTCCCTTGTTTGTAGCCAAACCTCAATAAATGTTTTAATCAGGATTTGTCTGAATGTTAAGCATCGGTCTGTAGTGAGATTTTGTAAAATTTCTGGTTTTTTAGTCCGTTTAGTGACATTTTCTTCTTTCACATTGTATGTTTTGGACACACTAGAACCCACGACGGAAAGAATATCTCGATGAAGACTGCATAGAAATCCAAAACAAAAAGGGGTAATATAGAGGAGAGTCAGGAGGGTAGAATCACATTTCGATTTTCTTTAAAAAAAGGATTGTTAAAAAGATTACCCTGCGATTGACCTATTTTTACAGTCACATCTGGTGTGATGCTTCACATCTGGTGCAGCGGAAATTCACAAATACATATGGGGTTCCACCCCGTGGACCTTAGTGAACACGGAGCCATGTGCATTGTAAATAATCAACAATTACGTTATGAAAACAGGAATATTTAAGTGGGACTATGCCCATTCAAGTGTAGAAAGTCAGTGAACAGGAAAAAAAACTTGACATTTTGCCATAATTGACGTGTTCAATTTTATATTTTACTATGTGATCAACGTGATCAATGGACAACATGACCAATGATTATCGACGGGACTAATGATCAACGTGACCAATGAACAACACGACCAATGAATAACATGACCAATGATCAACGTGACCAATGAACAACATGACCATGAAGAAAATAACCAGTGAACAACATGACCAATGATCAACGTGACCAATGAACAACATGACCAATGATCAACATGACCAATGATCAACGTGACCAATGAACAACATGACCAATGATCAACATGACCAATGAACAACATGACCAATGATCAACGTGACCAATGAACAACATGACCAATGATCAACATGACCAATGAACAACGTGACCAATGATCAACGTGACCAATGATCAACATGACCAATGAACAACATGACCAATGATCAACGTGACCAATGAACAACATGACCAATGATCAACATAACCAATGATCAACGTGACCAATGGATTTTTCTATCAATATCGTTCAGACTGAATCGATAACTCTCAATTCTTAAACAGAGTGGGACAGTCTTTTTATAATTTAGGAAGTTTTTTTTTAATTTTTTAATACACATTTTTCATTATCAATTATTAGTAAATCACAATTATAAAAGCCAATCTTTAGAAATATCGTATAACTAACTCGATTCAACTTGACAGCGAAAAATGTCACTTTAAATAGCAATTAAATCAGTTTGGGGACCTTTCTTTTGAACATGTGTCTGACTTAAATCGTACATATATACGTGCACAGTGTTATTAATGTGGATGTTAACCCATTACTTCATGAGCATTTTGTGAAAAATGGATGTTTTCATTGAAAAGTCTCCTGTTACAAGTTCAAATTGCTATAATACTATATAAACTGCTTCAACACTAATCAAACTTGGCACAAATGTTGACTGGACCACTGCCCTTGAAACAACATGCTCAGGCTTCAATTTTCTGTTACCATGGCAACGAGGGGACATCTCAAAATTGCCAAAAATCACTATTTTGCGTTGATTTTTCCATCAAAATTGATTTCAAAGTGCTGCAACTTCTCAATGGATTGAGATAAGGTCAAATGTTTTTCAGCGTTGGTTACACGTTACCTTATGATCAATCTGGGGTCATTCATAGCCTCTCACAAGTCCAAAATTTTCTTGGCGATAAGGGGGACTCCGCCCCCCCTTCAACCCCCCCCCCCAAACAGAAGGGGGCACACCCCCCTTCTGGCAACCCCCTGATGTATCTTTTGGTTGGGGGCCGCGCCGAAAAAGTGGTCACTTTTTCTAACAATATTTCTCAAACAAAAACAAGTGTTGGGGCCTAAATAAGGCATTTTTTCACCATTAGAGACAACAAAGGGGGGGGGGTGAAAAGGCGTTAAAAGGCGTGTATATCGCGTAATGGGTTAACAGAAAATGATGAAAATACTTGAAATTACCCAAAATCGCGCTTTCCATGTTTAAACATGGCCTGTCATATAAATTTGAAGAGAGATTGAAGTTTTGTAGATTTTTTGACTTTTTTCATTAACCCATTACTTCATGAGCATTTTGTGCAAAATGGCTGTTTTCATTGAAAAGTCTCCTGTTACAAGTTCAAATTGCTATAATACTATATAAACTGCTTCAACACTAATCAAACTTGGCACAAATGTTGACTGGACCATTGCCCTTGAAAAAACATGCTCAGGCTTCAATTTTCTGTTACCATGGCAACGAGGGGACATCTCAAAATTGCCAAAAATCACTATTTTGCGTTGATTTTTTTTCCATCAAAATTGATTTCAAAGTGCTGCAACTTCTCAATGGATTGAAATAGAGTCAAATGCTTTTCAGCGTTGGTTACACGTTACCTTATGATCAATCTGGGGTCATTTATTGCCTCTCACAAGTCCAAAATTTTCTTGGCGATAAGGGGGTCTCCGCCCCCTTCAAACCCTCCAAACAGAAGGGGGCACATCCCCCTTCTGGCAACCCCCTGATGTATCTTTTGGTTGGGGGCCGTGCCGAAAAAGTGGTCACTTTTTCTAACAACATTTCTCAAACAAAAACAAGTGTTGGGGGCCTAAATAAGGCATTTTTTCACCATTAGAGACAACAAAAAAGGGGGGGGGGGGGGAAAAAAAGGCGTATATATCGCGTAATGGGTTAAATGGAGTGCATGTATTAGTTACCCGCATTCCAAAGCATATCCATTGTTTGGCTCATTATAGTGGGGCTTACTTACTGTGATGCAGATAGAAACATCATATTCAGATTCTCGTTCATTGGTTTCTTTCTTTTAAGAGATTCATATTGTGACAATAGAAAACGTATTTTTATACAAAAGAAAAAGAACATAAAAACACTCGGAAATTAACCACAACAAGAGCTGTCACGTGGAAAATGCTTTCGACAATTACCAGTGATTGTTAGTACAAAGCAATTGTAATTGAACAATTAGGGGAAAGAATTTTCATTTAAAGGCACATTATGCCTCAGAATTAGATAAATATTTACTTCTTAAAAAAGGCCAATTATGAAAATAATGGTTTTAGATGTTAGATGCTTGTTGCCTTAAGAAAATAGCATAAAATGTGAAATAATTTGTCATTTAAGTAGCAAAAAATAGTGTCTTGACTTCCATACAAAATACTAATTCACTATAAATGTACTTATCAGATGAAAAAGATGGCTCCAGTAATTGGCCAATTAGTAACATTTTTAGCATACTATATAAGGTAAACAAAATTAAAAGCTTTTGAAAATAAAACTAAAAGCATTTCTGAGGCATAATAGGCCTTTAAAAAGTACCTGCTAATATAATAACAGCCTTGAACCATGATCTTTAATAACAATCTCAAAGAGACATGTGTCGTTTCATGTGAATATATAAAGTGATTAATTGATACGAAGTGGCACCGGAAAATTATTGTAAGTGTTACGGCCATGCCAATGTCAATTACGAGTAGAATATTGCAATTATTTATTCTAAGTGTCGAATTAAATAAACGACAAGGTCTTTCTAAGTGTTTACAAAAACTAATAAAGCGAGTGTAATAAGTTGATTTTCGGGGGGAAAAATAGTGTACTTATTACCGATTTCCATGTAAGGAAATGGTGGAATTCGTTCAAGAGAACAGATTTATTTGTATTACAGCTGTTCAGTTGTTTTTTGCAAACCCTGTGTAGAATGTCATACGAGTATATACATGTTTAGTTTTCCGTTTTTATACACATTCAAAACGTTACTGAACCAAAAAAGAAATTTTCGCAAAGTATGTGCCAGTTGTTCAAGGGTAACACTTAGATGTACACACATATATACATGTAGTAGCTTGTAAAACTCGTTTTGTTTGCAAAATCGGTCAGCTTATCCCCGTATAAAAGCCCGATATGTTTATTCAACGTAAAATCGAGTTTCAAAAGGATTGAAAAACTGTACTAACATATCTACATTCAAACTTGGAGAAAGTTTCTTTTTTGTTTCAGTATAAAAAGGTATGTTCTATAAAGGTAGCAAAGACTTCCATATAAAATTCTTATTCGTTGTAATTAAACCAATTGCCAACAGAGCAAGGGCAGCAAAAGATAGATCTAGTGTATGGCAAATGAGTATTTTTAGAAACTGTAACAAGCTACCAAAAAAGAGTTTTGAGAAATAAAAATTATAACACTGCTGAGGCATAATTAGCCTTTTGAAAATATTTCAAAATCCGACGCATTCATTTCAAGCGTTACGCGTTTTTGTCTTGTCATTTTTTCGACAGCGCCAGTGTCACTCAATACAAAATCAGCATCAAGCTTTTTCAAACAAAGGGAAATCAGAATTCAATATTTGACAAATAAATTCTGCAGAGTTATTAAACCTTTATGATTTGTTTAAATATTGCAATTAAAAGAAACGATGCATTCGCTTAGTTTTTTATCAGATACATAAGGTTTCATGATGATATTCGCTGGGGCCATCAAAATGTTGTTTTTTTGTTTGTTTGTTTTATAATAAATTATGCAATTTCTTTCTTCGCAACTTTTCGAATTACAATATAACGATAAAAGCCGATGCACTCTGAAAACGGAAGCGTAAACTGGTGTCCTGCGCACTTATATGGGAACCATAATAGAAAGGAGGAACCAGAATAAACGGAAGCAGTGTATAAAATACCGAATAACAATTTTAAATGGAAACTGTAAAATTAAAATGAACGATTATTTTTAAAAGAAAATCGAGCTTTGACTTTTTAATATTAAAGATAGTTGGTTTACACATAAACGTAGCCTTATTGCAAAATTCTTTGATAAAACTGTTATGAAGTTTAAGTTAATATTGTAATACTCGGGGAATGAAAGTACTAAGATGTGGTCTTTTTATCTTTTTCATCTACGGGTTGTCTTGTTAACTGTAACAATAACACTGATGAGGTAAACTCAGTTTGAAGAGCTCTTCAAAGATTTCCGGATGCAGCTGTAAAATTCATCTTTCTCTGCTTGACTGGGGGAAATTGTCGTCTGCTATATTTGTCGTCTACTTAGTGTTTAATGAATATACGTTTCAAGTGGAAGCAATCTGGTTAATACTACTTTGATAAGTAAATCCTCTTGTGAAAAGGACTCGGCCGAGGTTTTTCTTTTACATCATGGGACTGGACACAATTTTTCGAGATAATGTGAAAAATTACCCAAAATTCAATTCGTTTAAGCGCTTTTCACTAAAATCGGGCTAACAATGGCTCAAAATACCATTTTCATTTTTTTCTGAGTATATTTCTAAATTATCCTTTGCAAATCTTTACCTTCCTTTAACATTCAAAATTGACTTATTGTACTGTCCCCCTGCACCTCGATATGTGTTTCAACAACGACCCACCACCACTACCACCCCCTCAGCGTCCCAAACCCCTTAAACTTGCCATATTTTTACAATAACAGCTTAAGTAGTTATGCCTTAACGTTTCCAATTTTTTCTATTCATATTTTACCAAAGATGCCATATATTTGATATCTAAAAAGTGTTAAATATTATTTTCATTTTCATTGTTTTTGTTTTCTGTCGTCTTTGTTCACATTTGAGCCGCATCACGACAAAACCAACATAGTGCGTTTGCGACCATCCGCGCAGTCTGGTCAGGATCTATGCTGTTCGCTATCAGTTTCTCTACATGAAATAGGGTTGGTAAGCGAACAGCATGGATCCTGATCAGACTGCACGGATGCGCAGGCAAGTCTGGACCCATGCTGGTCGCAAACCCATTATGTTGGTTTTGTCGTGACACGGCACATTTATATATTGTGGGAGATTTTAAATATCATCAAAACCTCATACTATTTCTATGTCTTAAAAACTGTATAAATTGTCCTTGAAAGGTCAAAAATACATTTTGATCATCACTTCTAGTTGATAAACAATGGCCTGAACGGAAATATGTACTTTGCTGTTGATGATTATGACTTAGAGTCGGAACAAAATGTATGCCCTTGTTAAATAACCAAAGGTCATTTTGCATTGTTATCTTTATCTTAACGCTTTTGACAAAATTCATTCAAAATCCAGTAAAAGGTTTCTGTTTTATGAATTAATATACTCATAAGACGTTATCTTTTAATTTACAGACAAAATCATTTTGTGACGTATGTAAGGTTTCATGGGGCAAAATGTCGGTTTTACTATTTATCAGTTTATTTTATGTGATATTGAATGGACATTTCATTGCCATGGATAATGGACTCAAAGAACCAATATGTACATCAAGATTTGACTATGAGCATAAGATGTTACATCAAATGGTATTGCAGGAAATCGAACAAAAGAAAATGAAAGAATCCATCAACGATCTGAATACATTGATAAATACTCTGAAAGGTAAATTTTGTTTTTTATTATACATTACATATACGTTTTACTACACAGCCTAATGTGACGTCACATTGTGTTATTGACCACATACAATAAAGGTATAAGGCAAGAAATGAAATATTACTTCTATATTCATGACTGAACGGCGATTCCAAGCATTTTTGGAAATGGTAATACTTGGGGGTTTTTTTTGCAATATTCCCCAGGGGCGGGTAATCTGTATAGAAAACGTAATGTTCTAGTTCTCTCCCCTTATAAAAATCAATGATGAATGGCTCTCGGTGAAAAATTGTTCTAGTTCTCTCCCCTTATAAAAACTCAATCGGTGAAAAATTACATAAAAATGTTGGTTCGGAATAATAATAATAATAATAATAATAATAAAAAAAACCCGCCTCGGGTGTAATTTCAGTTCCCGGGTTGCTATTATGCACTTTTATACGACTATACCCCCCTGCAGAGGTATTCAAAAAGTGTCTTCTTAAGTCTGAAATGTGCAGCTCCAGCTTGAGCCAGTTGAATGACAATTATTCACATGCAAAATTTTGGTTCTAAAAGTCTTGTGTCGCCCTTTTGTATTATAAAGATAAAGTAGCGAGATTTTACATTCTATCGTTGTACTCTTAGAACAATTGCAATTCAACGTTGAATTCTTAAATCCTAGGGAGTATAAAAACGTAATAAATCGCAATTATTAACCTTATTTCTCGCATATTTCCTATGAAAGCTGTAGCTTATTTACAGAACAAGTTACTATAAAAAATATGAAAAGTTCTTCCAAGAGAATATTTAAGATGATTCAGCATTGTCAGCCATGTGAAAGTATTCCCGAATTCATATAACAACAAAGCTCACAATGAAAAATGTGGAACAATTTGCAATAACACTTCCAGGTCAATGTTTTAAGGACCAATATAAACAATCAAAGCACAGAAGGCGCTGAATTTGTTTGGGTCTCAAAATGAAAGAAAGGTACAGGTTGTGAGATTATATGTATAATTCCACCAATGCTTTCCAGCGTTTTAATTGTAGTAAATTGGCTATAAGACTAATTGCAACACTGATATTCAATCCAATGTTTATTTGACTTAAACAATTTGAAAAAAATGAGTTGCCTGTACTGGTATTTGAACTCCTACCTCTCGCTTCCTAAGCGAGCGCGAAAACCCTTCAGCCACGGTGAATTTATATGTGAACGGCCTGAAGAAAACCATATTATTCTAAATTAGGGCTTGTAACGACTTTTACTGTTGTTTAACACAGATGTAAATAATCCTGGAGCTTACTGTAAGCATGTATATTTATAAAGAATCAAAGGGCTGCAAGTTCTGTGGTATTTTCTGATCTTTGCAATCTAAATCGTACTGTATATATGTATGTATTTTCCTGTATAAGTTTATTTTTATGTATTATAATTCATTTTGCAAGGCACCAGAGTTTGATACATACGGAATTCTGCATAACTAGAGTAGCATCAAAATATCATTTATGTTCATTTTTTCCTTAACAAAGACACTTTAAAAAGAATTTTTAAAAAAAGTTTCCTCGACTGGGATTTGAACTCCAGACCTCTCACTCACTAAGCGAGCGCGTTACCACTGCACCACGGAGAAGTTATACAGACAACAATTGAATAACATCAAGTCATTCTAAATTTAGAACTTCCATTGCATTTCGGGTTTGTAATCCTTATTAATTTCGAGGTATTTTGTTCAGGATAAATCTGTTATCTAAAATTGAAGTAGTTAATTTAGCGAAAATCTTCTCGCCCAAACAGTCCAACATGTAGAATCTATATATTCCACTACTCGGTCTGTGTAGTCTTCGGTAATCGACATCGCTAAAAATAGTATTTTCATTGATAAGATCATATTCATCCGCGTAATTTGTGAGTGTGCATTTATTGACAATTCTATAAGCCAACGCTATTTTTAAACTTTGAATGCGTTGTAATTTGTTGGATACTTGTAACAAAATAAAAATATTTCTTTCTTTTAAATCGCTAGTTTTAAGCTGTTTTGAGAACTACTTTTTGTTAGGTTCGTCGTAAACTTCTGTGTCAGAGATTGAATGTCCGCTTTGTCTTTACTTATTTTTTATCAGAAAATACAATAAAACAATATTACAAATATTCGACCATTCGGGAATTATTTTGCTTGAAAATTAATGTGCCTGTCTTTGACCATCTTTACGCAGTGATCTCCCCTGAATTTTTCGGAGTTAGTGTACATATGAAGGGAAGTAACCGCTTCAAAAAAGTGGACTACTTTCAGCATTTGCAATTAACAGCATTAGACTCTGAAATTTCGCTACCATTATTTGTTAATAAAAATAGAAACGATAACAGAAAAAATATCTACCTTGAATGTGCTAGATTTCTGAAGACGAAGTAAAATCTTTTGCAAAGTTTTATGCACATTTCATGAATGGCAAAATCCAATTCAAAGTCTGTGTTACAAAAATGTATGTAGATTTAATGTAGATGAAAAAGGACATGGTTCTGTCAAAATCCACATTAGAGTAGTGACCTACATGTATACTATTATACTATCAAAATAAGTGTGTGATGTTTAAACCCGGTACCTTCAGTAGTTTTGAAGATGAAAATACTTAACCGACGTCTGACGCCGACACTGACGCCTGGGTGAACAAAGTAGCTCTATCTGTTCTTCGAATAGTCGAGCTAAAGAGACAAGATATTTAGTCGATCATCTTAACAGGATATATTTTAACAGCCGCAATCAGGACACCATAGCAACGTAAGGAAAGTTTGAGCGAACTTGATTGCGCAACTCGAGAAGGAATCCAGTTCATCGGAATATGAATTTAATAATTATGTTGTGTTATGTATGCAACATATTACATGTATATAATTTATATCTGACCAGTTGGTATTTCCAATATTATCATTGTTCTATTTTTAGAACATTAACTACATGTATTTACTAGAGCTTTCTTAACTGTTGTGGAGAACTCATGCATTATATTTAGATAGAAACTTCTGGAATGTTCTTTATTGTTGAAGTTGCTAGATTATGATTACTTGAGAACATAATAGACCTTTCTGGAATTTTCTAAGTTAATATATATAAAGTGACATTTTTCATTACTGGTACCTTTTAAGTCATCAGTTATCTTTTAAGTCATCAGTGATCTTTGAGTATTATTCAACTTGGAAATTAAGTGATTTATTGGAGCTTGGATTATTAATTATTCTTGTGGATTTTATTGTGGGAATTTATTCTAAAGTGTTCTTGGATTTAACTTGGATTTAACTGTGCTATTGAAAAAGGATCATTCCAGGATCAGGCTAGACATTTGTAATTTTTATTTGGACTTCAGGTATTTGAAAAGATAATTTGTTATTTTATTTTTCTTTAATAATTTTTCTGTAATAAATTTGTTATTGTTACAAGTTTGTTGCTGGCTTTTCTTTCTCGTTACGCCTGGCTCGTAACAGTTGGACAACAATTTTCGGAATCAGAGCCTCAGTATTTGTGTCTGCCTACCCCTCCCCTTCGCCCCACTACCACCCGCCAAAAAAGAATACAAATGAGTTGTGTGTTCAAACAGCTCCAGAAAAAGTTATATAATTCTCTTATCATCTGATCATCTAAATTATATTGATTCATTGCATAAATGTGTTCAAACTAAACTGCTGGCAGGCCATCATAATTTTCTCATATGTAGTGTTTGCCTGTTTCATATGATACGGCCTATTACAATACGTTTAGCATGCGAATAAGAAAACTTACCAAGTTTGAGGTCCAAAACTGTATCAATTAATCATTGACGCAATACATGTTCACAGTCGGTTTCAGTGTTGAACATTTTAACATGTGTGTAATTAATGAAAGCAGATACCGTCCGATGAAATAAGTGCACGAAAATTCCGTGCGATTTGCCTATACTAAACACTGCCTAATGGCCATGTTAATATTTTCTATAGTTTAACTTACAAGGAACATACGAGTTCATTGATTTTCAACTCTATTTGTTTATTATTACTACTTATTTATCTGTTCTTTACACGTCGTATAAGTCAGATTCAGCTACTCGTAGTTTCTTCAAAACTGTTTTTTTACAGACGAGAAGAAATCAGTTCGCTAGGACAAACAACAATTTATCCTTGGCTTCGCCTCGGACAATTTGTTTATCTTAGCAAACTGTCTTCTTGCAGACGTAAGAAAACACTTTTGAAGAAAAACTCTATCTGTATCCATTACAAACCCTGTTGTTATTCTTATAATATAATAAATCCTTATTTAAATGATGCTTTATATGCATTATTTCACGTTTTTAATGCCTCTTAGTGCTTATTAACAATGTGGGTTGTACAATTCTAATGATTAACATTTGACAGAAAAAAATCAAAGATGAAAAGAAAACGATGTTTAAAATCCCTTTAAAAATTTAAAATCCGTAGAAAACTGTAGATAATTGTCTTCGTAATGCATTCCTTTTCGATTAAAAAAAACTGATATAAAAATTAAAGAATTATTTTTTTAATAATTTCATTCTCTTGATTTCTGCAGATGAAAATGCTGAATACAGAAAAGCAGTTAAAGCAGTGGAGGACAATTTGAATAAGATAGAGGCCAAATGCTTGCGTGGGAGCTCTGAAAGTTCGTATGTTCGTTGGGGAAGGACAAAGTGTCCTGCTAATGGAACAGAGCTTGTCTATAAAGGTTTTGCCGGTGGTGCGCGTTATGACAAAGCCGGCGCGTCTAATTATCTATGTCTGCCTGACGAACCGATATGGGGTGCTTATGAAGATGCGGAGCAATCGTCTGGTACTGTATGGGGAGTTGAGTATGAACTGCATCAAAGAAACATGAATAATTTCTTTGGAAAAGCCCTGCATAACCACGATGTGCCATGCTGTGTATGTGCGACAAAGCGATCAAATATGCTGATGCTACCTGGTAGGAACGTATGTTATGATGGTTGGACATTGGAATACAGCGGGTATCTTGTGAGTGATCACGAGACACATCACGCAAGCGAATTTCTTTGCCTTGATAGTGGGCCAGAATTTCTTCCCAACGGCTCATCTGATAAGAATGGAAGATTGTTATATTTTGTCGAGGCACGTTGTGGATCACTTCCGTGTCCGCCTTACGTAAACGGAAGGGAACTGACTTGTGCTGTATGTTCAAAATGAATGATAAAATATTGCTATTGGTTTGTGGAAGGTTTAAGTAACGTTTAAAGCACGACAAAGACAAAGTATGTTATACACCTATGCCTGCAGTGCCTACATGAACTGCGAATATAACCAAGGAATATCTAAGGACTAAGGGTTATCTGTCCTGAATTGCAGTAAAATCGCAATTGCTAAAACAATACAAATAACGCCGTTTTTAAACTGCTGGGTTATTGCGATTTATTGTCAATGTATCTTGTTAACGTATCTTAGCTCCGTATCAATAAAAAAATCAACATATCTTGTGAATTCTAAGGTACTTATGTTAACTGTTAAAGCTGTATGCCTTCAGATAAGCGAAGTGTTTCGTGAAAAACAAACTTGAGAAAAATGTATTAAGATTTCAAGAAAAGTGAAAACATTCAAGATTCAAGTAATAATTTACACATTACGTGCGTTAAATGACTGATTTAGCAGTATTTATTACCATATTTCTACTGCATGACTAACGCAGTAAGGGCTATTTTTGCATATCTTGACTTCTATACTGTTAATTTACATGGATTGTAAGTGCCGTTTGCAATGTGTAAATTATTTCTTAGTTCACTTAACAATACTCGTATTTTACTTCTAAATACATTTTTCAAAATGTTCATGATTCATGAAAATTAGCATGGACTTGGAGGCATGCTGCTTTAAACTCACTACCCGTCGGCCATTATATACGATATATACGATAGTCTGCTAGTTCGGACAATGTTGTGGTCAAGTATGAAGACAATACACCAAGAACTTAAAAAGTTATGATCAACGTTAAAGTTTGGGGGGAGGACAACAACCACGGCAACGCTGACATGACTGTAACAATACCTCTATTTTTTTTCTTTGAAAAAAAAAGGTATGCTAAAATTCTTTGAAATGGAAAAAGCCATCAATATGTATAATTTGACTAGGTATTGGTCATTCCTGTAAAGTTTGGATGAAACTACTCCAATAGTTTTTGAGTAGTCCAGACATATTTTGTGACAGTCGGACAGACTGGATACTTATGTGGTTACTCTATTGTTCTTTAAGCCACCTAAGAGAAAAAAGCCACACAACACTACGGAATGAATAGTACAGTTACCTACTGTTTCTCTAGCCACAAAAATATCCAAATGTTTGTTCAGACAGACTGACGACGGAGAAGTGATCCCTATATATAACCGCTACTCTGTATCCGGTAATACAATAACTGTGTGCCATTTTATATTATTCAATGTACCCATTTTGCTGTAGACATCCTTAAAACCACACTTAGTAAAGATGTATGCATGGCTGTATTATCTTTGCCAATACTAGAAAGAATACAGTTTTAAGAGTTAGAAATTTTAGTATTTTATAAATGTGATGATTACTATTATTGTAAAATTAACTTGTATATTTTTCATGTGGATAAAGAATGTTTTCTTGAACAAGAAACTATACATTCATTGCTTAGCACGGGTTGGTTCCAGGAATGGATACAGGAGTGTTTCAATAAGCTTACAGCTTCCTACACAATCAAACTAAAATAAATTTGTATAAACTAAGTGAAAACAATACACAGACACCCTATTTTCTTAAAGGAGGTTTACAATTCTGAAGCATATAATGTTCATTATTTTCAAATCCTGAACAAGTAGAATAAAAGAAAAGAAACAATGTTTTATATTTTACTAATTTATTTTAATAATGGTATAACAATAATTCTGGTCTAGTTTGTATCACAGCCTGTAATAATACTACCTAGAATCACAGAAAAAACAAATACGTTATCATAGAGACACATTAATCATCACCTTAGTGCAATAACTGATTAACTGCTATTAAATTTAGAAGGACTTATTACGTTATTGCACTAAGGTGACGTTAAGTGTCCAGCTTTATTGATGATCCAATGAAAACGCAGTATTTCTTAAAATAATATGTGTGTTATGCGTGTCAATTTTCATAGAAGAACAAAAGTCGATAGTATATCAAATTCCGTTCATAGGTCGCCTTCTATTTTCCATAGTGCTTCATAGAACCGCGTTCTTGAAAATGGTCGTCATGTTATAAAGTGAATATTAATGAAGTAGAATAAAGCTTGACACTATAAATATGTTAGTATTCATCCCTAGCTGTTCTACAGAAATTAGAAACATTCTCCTGTCACTATCGCTCCCATCGAAGTTTCTAATTTCTGTAGAACAGCAGGGATGAACACTTACATATACATAAACTAGATTATTTCATTTTTCCGTAAAGCATCAACAATTTAGCAATTATAATAACACCCTCACATCTAATACATTAAAAGCATGCATTTTTAAACAATACGTTTTGTGACTATCAAATATTGGAGAGTATAGCCCCCCCTAATATTTCATTTCTTAATTGATTGGATTTAAAAAAATCCTAGTTCATTATGTTTCTATATCTATATGTAACATTAATTTAGTTTCTATACTTTATATAACACAACAAAAAACTTTGGTCATATTGAAAACCAGTACCTAAATATTTCTAACATAGTACTTGCTAAAACTTGAGGCATTTGGTCCATGTCTTACACACAAATAACATACAAATCAAAACAGCAAAGAGAGTATTTCACTAACCTAAAAGTACACAGTTTCACGTTCCCAGGACTTTGCAAAAAAACAAACTTTCAAAAAAACAATAATGCTGCTGTTGATTTGATTCCATTAATTTTGGTCTATTTCATCACCAGTGGAATATCACAAGATTTAACTTCTTCACATAGCAATTATTACCTCCCTTGGAATACCAATTTTTACCTCCCTTGGCAGCCATTTTTTTTTTTTTTTTTTTGGGGGGGGGGGGGGGGGGGGGGGTTCATATATCATCAGCCAAAGATAAAAATCTCTCATAATTCTATTATCTTCAAAAGTTTTTGTGACATATTGGTGCTATAGTAATATATATTCCTTCATATGTATAAAAGACAATTCACCTAAATCGACTGTTTTTATTGATTTCCTATTTATATTTTGTCAAATTTTTTAGTACCTTAATCTGCTGTATTTATCATTTTTTTCATACTTTGTCAATTATATTATATACAATGTGACCCCCAAAATGGCTGCCACTTTTGGCGAGGGAAGTAAACATAGTTAAAACAAGATATGTTTGTAAAACATGTATGCCCCCTATCAGCAGCCAATTAGTCATGTGATAAGGTTATTATGCATGACTTCTGACCCAGTGATCAAACAATTAATAATCGTTATAAAGTATCTACTGGTCATGACCTTGACCTTTGACCCCTTGACCCAAAACTCAATAGGGGACATCTGCTGGTCACGAGCAATCATCATACAAAGTTTGAAGTTCCTAGGCCTAGGCGTTTTTAGTAAATTGATCAGAAACCGTTTTTACCTACAAGGTCAATGTGACCTTGACCTTTGACCCCTTGACCCCAAAATCAATAGGGGTCATCTGCTGGTCATGACCAATCACCATGCCAAGTTTGAAGTTCTTAGGCCTAAGGGTTCTCTTATTATTGATCGGAAACCGTTTTAACATACAAGGTCAATGTGACCTTGACCTTTGACCCCAAAATCAATAGGGGTCATCTGCTGGTCATGACCAATCACCATGCCAAGTTTGAAGTTTCTAGGCCGAAGCGTTCTTTAGTTTTTGATCAGAAACCGTTTTTACTTACAAGGTCATTGTGACCTTGACCTTTGACCCCTTGATCCCAAAATCAATAGGAGTAATCTGCTGGTCATGACAAATCACCATACCAAGTTTGAAGTTCCTAGGCCTAAGCGTTCTTGAGTTATTGATCAGAAACCGTTTTTACTTAAAAGGTCAATGTGACCTTGACCTTTGACCCCTTCATCTAAAACTCAATAGGGGTCATCTGCTGGTCATGACCAATCATCACACAAAGTTTGAAGTTCCTAGGCCTAAGCGTTTTTAGTTAATTGATCGGAAACTGTTTTTACCTACAAGGTCAATGTGACCTTGACCTTTGACCCCTTGACCCCAAAATCAATAGGTCATCTGCTGGTCATGACCAATCACCATACCAAGTTTGAAGTTCCTAGGCATAAGGGTTCTTAAGTTATTGATCGGAAAGCATTTTTACCTACAAGGTCAATGTGACCTTGCCCTTTAACCCCTTAACCCCAAAATCAATAGGGGTCATCTGCTGGTCATGACCAATCACCATACCAAGTTTGAAGTTCCTAGGCCTAAGGGTTGTTTAGTTATTGATCGGAAACTGTTTTTACCTAAGAGGTCAATGTGACCTTGACCTTTGACCCCTAGACCCCAAAATCAATAGGGGTCATCTACTGATCATGACCAATCAACATCTCAAGTTTGAAGTCCCTAGGCCTAAGGGTTCTTTCATTATTGATCGGAAACCGCTTTACCTACAAGGTCAATGTGACCTTGACCTTTGACCCCTTAACGCCAAAATCAATAGGGGTCATCTGATTGGTCATAACCAATCACCATACCAAGTTTGAAGTTCCTAGGCCTAAGGGTTCTTTTGTTATTGATCAGAAACCGTTTTTAATTAAAAGGTCAATGTGACCTTGACCTTTGACCCCTTGACCCCAAAATCTATACGGGTCATCTACTGATCATGACCAATCAACATACCAAGTTTGAAGTTCCAAGGCCTTAAGGTTCTTTAGTTATTGATCGGAAACCGTTTTTACCTACAAGGTCAATGTGACCTTGACCTTTGACCCCTTGACCCCAAAATCAATAGGGGTCATCTACTGATCATGACCAATCACCATACCAAGTTTGATGTTCCTAAGCCTTAAGGTTCTTTAGGTATTGATCGGAAACCGTTTTTACCTACAAGGTCAATGTGACCTTGACCTTTGACCCCTTGACCCCAAAATCAATAGGGGTCATCTACTGATCATGACCAATCACCATACCAAGTTTAAAGTTCCTAGGCCTTAAGGTTCTTTAGTTATTGATCAGAAACCGTTTTTGCTTACAAGGTCAATGTGACCTTGACCTTTGACCCCTTGACCCCAAA